TCAAACACAGACCAGAGTCAGGACTAGACCGGGACTAAACCAGGACTAAAACCAGGAAACCAGGTCTAAACACAGACCAGAGTCAGGACTAGACCGGGACTAAACCAGGAACTGGACTAAACCAGGACTAAACCAGGACTAAACCAGGAAACCAGGTCTAAACACAGACCAGAGTCAGGACTAGACCGGGACTAAACCAGGGACTAAACCAGGTCTAAAAACAGGTCTAAACACAGACCAGAGTCAGGACTAGACCGGGACTAAACCAGGACTAAACCAGGACTAAACACAGACCAGAGTCAGGACTAGAACCAGGACTAAACCAGGTCTAAACACAGACCAGAGTCAGGACTAGACCGGGACTAAACCAGGACTAAACCAGGACTAAACCAGGTCTAAACACAGACCAGAGTCAGGACTAGACCGGGACTAAACCAGGACTAAACCAGGTCTAAACACAGACCAGAGTCAGGACTAGACCGGGACTAAACCAGGACTAAACCAGGACTAAACCAGGTCTAAACACAGACCAGAGTCAGGACTAGACCGGGACTAAACCAGGACTAAACCAGGACTAAACCAGGACTAAACCAGGACTAACCTGGTCTAAACACAGACCAGAGTCAGGACTAGACCGGGACTAAACCAGGACTAAACCAGGACTAAACCAGGACTAAACCAGGACTAAACCAGGACTAGACCTGGTCTAAACACAGACCAGAGTCAGGACTAGACCGGGACTAAACCAGGACTAAACCAGGACTAAACCAGGTCTAGACCTGGTCTAAACACAGACCAGAGTCAGGACTAGACCAGGACTAAACCAGGACTAAACCAGGTCTAGACCTGGTCTAAACACAGACCAGAGTCAGGACTAGACCGGGACTAAACCAGGACTAAACCAGGTCTAAACACAGACCAGAGTCAGGACTAGACCGGGACTAAACCTGGACTAAACCAGGTCTAAACACAGACCAGAGTCAGGACTAGACCGGGACTAAACCAGGACTAAACCAGGACTAGACCGGGACTAAACACAGACCAGAGTCAGGACTAGACCGGGACTAAACCAGGACTAAACCAGGTCTAAACACAGACCAGAGTCAGGACTAGACCGGGACTAAACCAGGACTAAACCAGGACTAGACCTGGTCTAAACACAGACCAGAGTCAGGACTAGACCGGGACTAAACCAGGACTAAACCAGGACTAAACCAGGACTAAACCAGGTAAACCAGGACTAAACCTGGTCTAAACACAGACCAGAGTCAGGACTAGACCGGGACTAAACCAGGACTAAACCAGGACTAAACCAGGACTAAACCAGGACTAAACTAAACCAGGTCTAGACCTGGTCTAAACACAGACCAGAGTCAGGACTAGACCGGGACTAAACCAGGACTAAACCAGGACTAAACCAGGACTAACTAGACCTGGTCTAAACACAGACCAGAGTCAGGACTAGACCAGGACTAAACCAGGACTAAACCAGGACTAAACCAGGACTAAACCGGGACTAGACCTGGTCTAAACACAGACCAGAGTCAGGACTAGACCGGGACTAAACCTGGACTAAACCAGGTCTAAACACAGACCAGAGTCAGGACTAGACCGGGACTAAACCTGGACTAAACCAGGTCTAAACACAGACCAGAGTCAGGACTAGACCGGGACTAAACCAGGACTAAACCAGGACTAGACCGGGACTAAACACAGACCAGAGTCAGGACTAGACCGGGACTAAACCAGGACTAAACCAGGTCTAGACCTGGTCTAAACACAGACCAGAGTCAGGACTAGACCGGGACTAAACCAGGTCTAAACCAGGACTAAACCAGGTCTAAACCAGGACTAGACCTGGTCTAAACACAGACCAGAGTCAGGACTAGACCGGGACTAAACCAGGACTAGACCAGGACTAAACACAGACCAGAGTCAGGACTAGACCGGGACTAAACCAGGACTAAACCAGGTCTAAACACAGACCAGAGTCAGGACTAGACCGGGACTAAACCTGGACTAAACCAGGACTAAACACAGACCAGAGTCAAGGACTAGACCACTAAAACCAGGACTAACCAGGACTAAACCAGGTCTAAACACAGACCAGAGTCAGGACTAGACCGGGACTAAACACAGACCAGAGTCAGGACTAGACCGGGACTAAACCAGGACTAAACCAGGACTAAACCAGGTCTAAACACAGACCAGAGTCAGGACTAGACCGGGACTAAACACAGACCAGAGTCAGGACTAGACCGGGACTAAACCAGGACTAGACCTGGTCTAAACACAGACCAGAGTCAGGACTAGACCGGGACTAGACCAGGACTAAACCAGGACTAAACCTGGTCTAAACACAGACCAGAGTCAGGACTAGACCGGGACTAGACCAGGACTAAACCAGGACTAAACCTGGTCTAAACACAGACCAGAGTCAGGACTAGACCGGGACTAAACCAGGACTAAACCAGGTCTAAACACAGACCAGAGTCAGGACTAGACCGGGACTAAACCTGGACTAAACCAGGTCTAAACACAGACCAGAGTCAGGACTAGACCGGGACTAAACCTGGACTAAACCAGGACTAAACCAGGTCTAGACCTGGTCTAAACACAGACCAGAGTCAGGACTAGACCGGGACTAAACCTGGACTAAACCAGGACTAAACCAGGTCTAGACCTGGTCTAAACACAGACCAGAGTCAGGACTAGACCGGGACTAGACCAGGACTAAACCTGGACTAGACCAGGACTAAACCTGGTCTAAACACAGACCAGAGTCAGGACTAGACCGGGACTAAACACAGACCAGAGTCAGGACTAGACCAGGACTAGACCAGGACTAGACCAGGACTAGACCAGGACTAAACCAGGACTAAACCAGGACTAGACCTGGTCTAAACACAGACCAGAGTCAGGACTAGACCGGGACTAAACCAGGACTAAACCAGGACTAGACCTGGTCTAAACACAGACCAGAGTCAGGACTAGACCGGGACTAAACCAGGACTAAACCAGGACTAGACCTGGTCTAAACACAGACCAGAGTCAGGACTAAACCAGGACTAAACCAGGACTAAACCAGGTCTAAACACAGACCAGAGTCAGGACTAGACCAGGACTAAACCAGGACTAAACCAGGACTAAACCAGGACTAAACCAGGACTAAACCAGGACTAAACCAGGACTAGACCTGGTCTAAACACAGACCAGAGTCAGGACTAGACCAGGACTAGACCAGGACTAGACCAGGACTAGACCAGGACTAAACCAGGACTAGACCAGGACTAGACCTGGTCTAAACACAGACCAGAGTCAGGACTAGACCAGGACTAAACCAGGACTAAACCAGGACTAAACCTGGTCTAAACACAGACCAGAGTCAGGACTAGACCAGGACTAAACCAGGACTAAACCAGGACTAGACCTGGTCTAAACACAGACCAGAGTCAGGACTAGACCAGGACTAAACCAGGACTAAACCTGGTCTAAACACAGACCAGAGTCAGGACTAGACCAGACTAGACCAGGACTAAACCCAGGACTAGACTAGACCAGGATAAAACAACAGACCAGAGTCAGGACTAGACCAGGACTAGACCAGGACTAGACTAGACCAGGACTAGACCAGGACTAAACAGAATAACCAGGACCAAACCAGGACTAAACCAGGACTAGACCAGGACTAGACCAGGACTAGACCAGGACTAAACCAGGACTAGACCAGGACTAGACCAGAACTAAACCAGGACCAAACCAGGACTAGACCAGGACTAGACCGGGACTAGACCGGGACTAAACACAGACCAGAGTCAGGACTAGACCAGGACTGAACCAGGACTAAACCAGGACTAGACCAGGACTAGACCAGGACTAAACCAGAACTAAACCAGGACCAAACCAGGACCCAGGACTAGAACCAGGACTAGACTAGACCAGGACTAGACCAGGACTAGACCAGGACTAAACCAGGACTAGACCAGAACTAAACCAGGACCAAACCAGGACTAAACCAGGACTAGACCAGGACTAGACCAGGACTAGACCAGGACTAGACCAGAACTAGACCAGGACTGAACCAGGACTAGACCAGGACTAGACCGGGACTAGACCAGGACTAAACACAGACCAGAGTCAGGACTAGACCAGGACTAGACCAGGACTAAACCAGGACTAGACCTGGTCTAAACACAGACCAGAGTCAGGACTAGACCAGGACTGAACCAGGACTAAACCAGGACTAGACCAGGACTAGACCAGGACTAGGACTAAACCAGACTAGAACCAGGACTAAACCAGGACTAAACCAGGACTAGACCAGGACTAGACCAGGACTAGACTAAACCAGGACCCAGGACTAGAACCAGGACTAGACCAGGACTAGACCAGGACTAGACCAGAACTAGACCAGGACTCTGAATGTCACTGATTTCAAAATAAAAGTCTGAATTTACAAAAGAGCTTCAAAGTCCCTCGACAAGATCAGCACCACGGACAGTTCCTCCCAACTCCAACTCTGACACTGGACCTGGTCTAGTCCTGGTCTAGTCCTGGTCTAGTCCTGGTCTAGTCCTGGTCTAGTCCTGGAAACTATGAATAGACCAGGACTGGACCAGGACCAGACCAGGACTGGACCTTTTGATATCAAACCTCTTTGTTCAGTTCTGACTCTAGATTCTTGTAAATGTAAAAATAAACTTTAGACTTTGAGCTGAAATGTTCCGCAGTGAAGCTTTAATAATGAAACATTTTATTTTTCAGTCAAAACTAAAAAAGAAATCACAAAGTCCTGGTTTAGTCCTGATCTGGACCTTGTTTAGTCCGCGTCTGGTCCTGGTCTGGTCCTGGTTTAGTCCGCGTCTGGTCCTAGTCTGGTCCTGGTTTAGTCCTGTTCTGGTCCTGGTCTGGTCCTGGTCTGGTCCTGGTTTAGTCCTGGTTTAGTCCTGGTCTGGTCTAGTCCTGGTTTAGTCCTGGTCTGGTCCTGGTCCTGGTCTGGTCCTGGTTTGACTCACCGTTGGTCGCAGGAGTGTCTCTGTAGAGTCTTCGAGGATCAGATCAGGATTTGGACCGGGACTCGACACACCTGTAAATAAAACCCCTGACCACGCCCCCTCACCTGGCCCCGCCCACAGAGGCCCCGCCCCTTTCCCAGGTGAGGTCAGAGAAAAGACCGGAACCGTCGGCCTCGGGGCAAATCTGAATTATGAGAGAAATGACGAGAAACCGAACGAGACGACCTAGATCTGACCAAGTCCTGGTTTAGACCTGGTTTAGACCTGGTTTAGTCCTGGTTTAGTCCTGGTTTAGTCCTGGTTTAGTCCTGGTTTAGTCCTGGTTTAGACCTGGTTTAGTCCTGGTTAGTCCTGGTTTAGTCCTGGTTTAGTCCTGGTTTAGTCCTGGTTTAGTCCTGGTTTAGTCCTGGTTTAGTCCTGGTTTAGTCCTGGTTTAGTCCTGGTTTAGTCCTGGTTTAGTCCTGGTTTTAGACCTGGTTTAGACCTGGTTTAGTCCTGGTTTAGTCCTGGTTTAGTTTAGACCTGGTTTAGTCCTGGTTTAGTCCTGGTTTAGTCCTGGTTTAGTCCTGGTTTAGACCTGGTTTAGTCCTGGTTTAGACCTGGTTTAGTCCTGGTTTAGTCCTGGTTTAGTCCTGGTTTAGTCCTGGTTTAGTCCTGGTTTAGTTCTGGTTTAGTCCTGGTTTAGTCCTGGTTTAGTCCTGGTTTAGTCCTGGTTTAGTCCTGGTTTAGTCCTGGTTTAGTCCTGTTTTAGTCCTGGTTTAGTCCTGGTTTAGTCCTGGTTTAGTCCTGGTTTAGTCCTGGTTTAGTCCTGGTTTAGACCTGGTTTAGTCCTGGTTTAGTCCTGGTTTAGACCTGGTTTAGTCCTGGTTTAGACCTGGTTTAGTCCTGGTTTAGACCTGGTTTAGTCCTGGTTTTAGTTCAGATTTTAGTTCTGGTTTAGTTCTGGTTTAGTCCTGGTTTAGTCCTGGTTTAGTCCTGGTTCAGATATTTCTCAGTGACGTGGTGTTGGGGGGTGTTACATGTGTGTGTAGGGTGGATTATTCAGCCGTTACTATGGCGACACAAACACAACCAAACAAGTTTGAGTCCTGGTTCAGTTCTGGTTTGGTCCTGGTCTTGGCTCAGACCTTCATGTTGAGTCAGTCTCTCCTCTTTTTTTTTTTTTTTTGTCTCTTTTCTCATAATGACCCCAATAAAAGAAAGACCTGAAAGATCCAGTTACAGAACTGAACCAGGACTGAAACCAGGACTGAACCAGGACTGAAACCAGGACTAAACCAGGACTGAAACCAGGACTAAACCAGGAACTAAACCAGGACTGAACCAGGACTAAACCAGGACTGAACCAGGACTAACCAGGACTAAACCAGGACTGAACCAGGACTAACCAGGACCAGGACTAAACCAGGACTGAACCAGGACTGAACCAGGACTAAAGGACTGAACCAGGACTAAACCAGGACTAAACCAGGACTGAACCAGGACTAAACCAGGACTGAAACCAGGACTAAACCAGGACTGAAACCAGGACTGAACCAGGACTAAACCAGGACTGAAACCAGGACTGAACCAGAACTAAACCAGGACTGAACCAAGACTAAACCAGGACTGAACCAGGACTAAACCAGGACTAAACCAGGACTGAACCAGGATTGAACCAAGACTAAACCAGGACTGAAACCAGGACTGAAACCAGGACTAAACCAGGACTGAAACCAGGACTAAACCAGGACTGAACCAGGACTAAACCAGGAAACCAGGACTGAACCAGGACTGAACCAGGACTGAACCAGGACTAAACCAGGACTAAACCAGGACTGAAACCAGGACTAAACCAGGACTAAACCAGGACTGAAACCAGGACTAAACCAGGACTAAACCAGGAAACCAGGACTGAACCAGGACTAAACCAGGACTAAAACCAGGACTGAACCAGGACTAAACCAGGACTAAACCAGAAACCAGGACTAAATCAGGACTGAACCAGGACTAAACCAGGACTAAACCAGGAAAACCAGGACTGAAACCAGGACTGAACCAGGACCAGGACTAAACCAGGACTAAACCAGGACTGAACCAGGACTAACCATGGAAACCAGGACTGAACCAGGACTGAACCAGGACTGAAACCAGGACTAAACCAGGACTAAACCAGGACTGAACCAGGACTAAACCAGGACTGAACCAGGACTACCTGTCCTTGACCCCCTGATCGTGGAAGTTCTGTTGTTGGGGGTTTCATGCTCCTGGTCGGGTCCAGGTCGTGGGTCAGAAGCCTCTTTATGATGAGTGACACACAGAGACCAGTGACGTCGCCCGGGTCAGCGTCACCGGGCGTCACCCTGGAGCCAGGCCTGGGGTGGGCGTCACCCTGGAGCCAGGCCTGGGGTGGGCGTCACCCTGGAGCCAGGCCTGGGGTGGGCGTCACCCTGGAGCCAGGCCTGGGGTGGGCGTCACCCTGGAGCCAGGCCTGGGGTGGGCGTCACCCTGGAGCCAGGCCTGGGGTGGGCGTCACCCTGGAGCCAGGCCTGGGGTGGGCGTCACAGCGAGGGTCTGGTGCCCGGACTTTCCTCCACGTGGGCAACAGCAGTGACACCAGGAGAGGAACATCCTGATCTGAACCTGAGCCGTGTTCTGTTGCTGAACTTCTGTTCTAGTCACAGTTTGTCCAGAACCAACACCATGTTCAGCAGAAGGTCCATCAGTGCAGGTGGCACCAGGACACAGGTCCACGAGCCACTTTGTAGTCGTGTCATGTGACCTCCGGCCGTGTGTCCTGGACACTCGGGTGAGGAGAGGAGCAGAGCTGTGGACTCCCCCTGGTGGTGAGTTGGTTTCACTGGTGGAGGAGGAAAGATCTGGCAGGTCCAGGTGTGGAGTGAGGGTCTGTGGGAACATCTGGAGGAGCTTCTGTCAGAGAAACCTTCAACTCACACCTCAGGAGAACTTCTCCCAGATTCCAGGGGAGACTGGAGACATGGAGTCTGAGTGAGCTTCATTCTCCTCTACTGTCCATGCGGCTGCTCGGGTCTGTGGGCTGTGGTCTGTGGGCGTCGGGTCTGTGGGCGTCGGGTCTGTGGTCTGTGGGCGTCGGGTCTGTGGGCGTCGGTCTGTGGGCGTCGGGTCTGTGGGCGTCGGGTCTGTGGGCATCGGGTCTGTGGGCGGGTCTGTGGCGTCTGTGGGCGTGGGCGTCGGGTTGTGGTCTGTGGGCGTCGGGTCTGTGGTCGTGGGTCTGTGGGCGTCGGGTCTGTGGTCGTGGGCGTCGGGTCTGTGGGCGTCGGGTCTGTGGTCTGTGGGCGTCGTCGGGTCTGTGGTCGGGTCTGTGGGCGTCGGGTCTGTGGTCTGTGGTCTGTGGCGTCGGTCGGGTGTGGGCGTCGGGTCTGTGCGTGTCTGTGGTCGGGTCTGTGGGCGTCGGGTCTGTGGTCGTGGTCGGGTCTGTGGGCGTCGGGTCGTGGTCGGGTCTGTGGTCTGTGGGGGTCGTATCGGGTCTGTGGTCTGTGGGTCTGTGGGCGTCGGGTCTGTGGGCGTCGGGTCTGTGGGCATCGTCGGGTCTGTGGGCATCGGGTCTGTGGGCGTCGGGTCTGTGGTCTGTGGTGGACACCAGAAGAAGAAGAACATGGACGGACGGATGTTTAAAGTCACTGTGGAACATTCCAGACAGAGCAGTGACAGTGCAGCTTTAAAACCACCACTTCATGACATCACCAGGTGGAACAGAGCGTCTGGAGCTTTAGAGACAAACTCACAATAAAGAAATACTCAAACATGTGAAAGAAACAAACTGTTTGTTTTTATTTTTTTTTCTGGTTTAGTCCTGGTTTAGTTCTAGTTTAGTCCTGGTTTAGTTCTGGTTTAATCCTGGTTCAAAAACTTGATGAGGCCAAAAGAGCGTGAGACAAAACTCCACGCCAGAAAATGAGAGGAGCAAGAGAAGAGAAGGAGGAGAAGAGAAGGAGGAGAAGAGAGAAAGAAGGGAGAGAAGCAGAGAAGAGAAGAAGGGAGGAGGAGAGGAGAGGGGGATTTTATGGACAGAATCTAAACGTCTGAAAATGAGAAGAACGAAAGAGAGAAAAAAGAGATGAAGAGAGAGAGAGAGAGAGAGGCAGAAGTGAGAGAAGTGAGAAAAGAGGAGAGGAGCTGTGGGAGGGATGGAGGGAGCGACAGACGAGTGTGTTTGTCTGTGACACAGATTGAAAGAAATCTGAGAGTCCTGACCTGGTCCAACACAAAAGAACTAAACCAGGTCTAAACCAGGACTAAACCAGGTCTAAACCAGGTCTAAACCAGGTCTGAAACAGGTCTAAACCAGGTCTAAAACAGGTCTAAACCAGGACTAAACCAGGTCTGAAACAGGTCTAAACCAGGACTAAACCAGGTCTAAACCAAGTCTAAAACAGGTCTAAACCAGGACTAAACCAGGTCTAAACCAAGTCTAAAACAGGTCTAAACCAGGACTAAACCAGGTCTAAACCAGGTCTAAACCAGGACTAAACCAGGTCTAAACAGGTCTAAACCAGGACTAAACCAGGTCTGAAACAGGTCTAAACCAGGACTAAACCAGGTCTGAAACAGGTCTAAACCAGGTCTGAAACAGGTCTAAACTAGGACTAAACCAGGTCTAAACCAAGTCTAAACCAGGACTAAACAGGACTAAACCAGGTCTAAACCAGGTCTAAACCAGGACTAAACCAGGTCTAAAACAGGACTAAACCAGGTCTAAACCAGAACTAAACCAGGTCTAAAACAGGACTAAACCAGGTCTAAACCAGGACTAAACCAAGATTAAACTAAGCCTAAACCAGGTCTAAACCAGAACTAAACCAAGATTAAACTAGGACTAAACTAAGCCTAAACCAGGACTAAAACCAGGTCTAAACCAGAATTAAACCAGGACTAAACCTGGTTTAACCTGGTTTTAGACCTGGTTTAGTCCTGGTTTTAGACCTGGTTTTAGTCCTGGTTTTAGTCCTGGTTTAGCCCTGGTTTAGCCCAAAATGTGAAAACAGGAAAATACCACTGTGTAATCCATTTATTTCAACAAAGTAACTGTAACTGAATACAGTTACTCATCATTTGTACTCTGATTACTCTGGTACATGTAATCTGTTACTCCCCAACACTGAGGATGACGTGTTGTTTACATTTCGCTTTCGTCCCGTTATTGTTAGAAATGAGATTAAACCAATATTTACACAAACATGTGACGTATTATTAGTATAAAAACCCTCGTAAACGTTAATTAAAGTTTTGTAAAGTCCAGCGTCTGTTTCCTCATCGTCCCACGCCAGTGTCCGCCTCTGCGCATGCTCAGTAGTTTGGTTGCGCACTTGGCCGCGGTTGGTCTTTTTCTTTCCCGGTAAAGTCCCGGTTTTTTCCCGGTAAAGTCTCGGTTTTTGCGCGTCGCTCAGGTCTCGGGCTTGTCTTTGCTCGGTCCCATGAAGTCGACGCCGTCTATGGGGATGTCCTTGTCCTTGATCGCCTTGTGCACGCAGCGCTGGTATGTCCTGAAGCTCTCCGTGCACGGGTCTCCGCTTCGATCGCCTTTCAGGAACTTTTCGGCGAACCAGCGGTTGAAGCACTGGTCGTACTCGCGCTTCAGCTCCGTGCACGACTCCCCGACGCTGTTCATGTCCGGAAAAGTGCGCGAAAAAAGACGCAAAAAAGGGGAAAAAAGTGCAGAAAATGCGCTGGTGTCGGAGCCGAACGTACGCCGCCGACGCATGCGCAGACGCTGTCCTTGAGTCGAGGTACGTGATTGGCTGGTTTTTGGACGTCTGACGTAACAAAGGTGCTGAATAACGACAGATGCACCACTCACACACAGTTTTTCTTTCTTTTTAAAATTCGATCTTATTACTTTTTAATTGGATTTTTTAAAAGATTTTAATTATTAGATTTAAATTTTGTTTACATTTTTTTAAAAGTTGTTTATTTTTGTTTATTTTTATTTGTTAGATTTAGATTTTTTTAGATAAATTTTTTTTAGATTTATTTTTTATTAAATTATATGTATTCATTTTTTAGAGTTTCATTATTAGATTTAGATTTTAAAAAAGATTTTGTTTATTTATTTTTAGATTTTATTTTTTTTATTTTATTTCATAAATTTTGATGTTTTATTTTTAGATTTTATAAATTTTATTAGATTTTATTAGTTTTTTATTTTATTTATTTATTAAATCTAAATTAAAAATGATTTATTTTATTAGATTTTATTGTTTTATTTTTTAGAAATAAATTTAGATTTTATCTTGAATTTATTTATATTCGATTTTATTTTTTTTTTATAAAACTATTTATTTGATTAGATTTAATTTTATTTATTCGATTTAGATTTTTTTTTAGATTTATCTTTTCATTACATTTTACTTTTCTTATATACATTTTCTTTTCTTTTTTTTAATATACATTTTGATTTTACATTTTATTTATTTTTATTAGATTTTATTTATTTTTATTAGATTTTATTTATTGTTATTAGATTTTATTACAGTTCTATGGGAAAGGTGTCAGAGTGAGACCTCTTTCTAATCTCGCGAGAACTGAGCGGAAGTTCCAAGTCTCGCGTGTGCAGCCCTGACGTGAGCTCCGTTTCTGAAGTGGAAATTTGAATAAAAGTGTCGATTTAAACCGAACAGCGGAGACCAGACCGCACCGGAACATTCACGAAGGTCTGACAAGTGCCATGTTTCATGTCTAACTGTTGTAATGTTGTAGTTTGGAGCCGATATTGAGCAGATGCTAACCGCTTTAGCCTCGGCCCGTTGTGATTGTTGTGGTGGAGCGTTAGCTTAGCATTAGCCGCGGGGTTTTCACCGGGTTTGTTTTTGTTTTTGTTTTTGTTTCAGGTCGAGGAAAAAGATTTAAAGAAGGAAACATGTCGGACAGCGAAGACAGCGACTTTTCAGACAACCAGAGCGAGCGCAGCAGCGACGGAGAGGCGGAGGAGGCGGAGGAGAACGAGGTACCCGGGAGGAGGCGCTGCTCTGCGGCTTCAAACACCAGACGAACAAATACACTTGATTAAAATAAATGTTTTCTCTCATCAAACATCTTATAAAACTCAAACTGGAGCTCCCACACTGCGCCGAGCTCCTTCCACAAACTTTTCTAGTCCAGAGAAAATCTCCTCTCAGTGATGGAGTCATCATATAACTATAACAAGTTTAAATCTGGTTTAAGTCTGGTTTATACACGGTTAATACACACAACACACTCACTATACACACATTACACATATTACATACACATTACACACACAGTTGAGCTCAGAAAGTTCCAAGTAAAGAGTTTAGGAGATAAACTAAAACATTCTTGTCATGAGTCACTAACAACAGTAAAAACTGATGGAAACAAACACAACACTAAAATAAGAACTGTGATAAATGAATGTGTCGTCCACACATGGTCCTAAACCAGATTTTAAACCAGACTGAAACCAGATTTCAGTCTGGTTTAAATCTGGTTTCAGTCTGGTTTAAATCTGGTTTCAGTCTGGTTTAAATCTGGTTTAATCTGGTTTAGGACCATGTGTGGACGACACATTCATTTATCACAGTTCTTATTTTAGTGTTGTGTTTGTTTCCATCAGTTTTTATTGTTGTTAGTGACTCACGACACAAGAATGTTTTAGTTTAACTCCTAAACTCTTGACCTGGAACTTTCTGAACTCAACTGTGTATAGTGTGTGTATAGTGTGTGTATAGTGTGTGTATAGTGTGTGTATAGTGTGTGTATAGTGTGTGTACAGTGTGTGTAAAGTGTGTGTACAGTGTGTGTACAGTGGGCGTGCTGGTGTTGGACTTTAGTGTGCTTGTTGTTGGACTTTTGTTTTGGATTAAATTTTTTACATTTCTTATTAGATTTTGTTTTTTTATTTTATTTTATTTTTAGATTTAGATTTTGTTTTATATTTAATTTTTTTTATATTTATTTATATTAGATTTGTATTTATTTATGTTTTTTAGAGTTTCTTTATTAGATTTAGAAGTTTTTTTTATTTTTTTTAATGTTTTATTTTATTTTATTCATTTTTATTTTATTTATTAAATGTAAATAAAAAATATTTATTTTTATTAGATTTTATTTATTAGATATAACAATTTTTAGATTTTATTTTTATTAGATTTATTTAAATTTTTTTTGTTGGACTTTTCCGTGTCTTGTGGATGATTTGACGTGAGCTTGACGAGGGACTGAAGGTAGAAAATCGTTAGAACACGACACACAACAGTCACAGTTGCAAAATATAAACTTTTAATGATGTTTTAGCTTCAAAATTGTGTTGTAATATTTAGATTTGTGTGTTTAACAACGGGCCGCGATCAGAAAAAACTAAAAACAGAGACGTGTGGATGTAAAAAGCGTCGTCGGGCAGAAAATTATCAGATTAAAAGTCTCGGTCGGCACACGGCGCAGGGATAAACTGAATTGTGTTTGTGTGTGTGTGTGTGTGTGTGTGTTTGTGTGTGTGTTGTGTGTGTGTGTTGTGTGTGTGTGTGTTTGTGTGTTGTGTGTGTGTGTGTGTTTGTGTGTGTGTTTGTGTGTGTGTGTGTGTGTGTGTGTGTGTGTGTGTGTGTGTGTGTGTGTGTGTGTGTGTGTGTGTGTTGTTTGTGCGTCAGGAGGAAGGAGGGAGCCCCGTCGGCAGTGACAAAGCCGCGGACGAGGAGGGAGAAGATCTGCTGGACGATGAAGACGAGTACGACGAGGAGGAGGAAGAGGAGGATGACGACCGACCGCGAAAGAAACCCAGACACGGAGGCTTCATCCTGGACGAAGCCGGTACGACTCCAAACTCGACCTGGTTCATGAAAGAAACCTGGACTAAAACCTGGACTAAAACCTGGACTAAAACCTGGACTAAAACCTGGACTGAACCTGGACTAAAACCAGGGACTGAACCAGGACTAAAAACCAGGGACTGAACCAGGACTAAAACCAGGACTAAAACCGGGACTGAACCAGGGACTGAACCAGGGACTGAACCAGGGACTGAACCAGGGACTGAACCAGGGACTAAAACCGGGACTAAAACCGGGACTAAAACCGGGACTGAACCCGGGACTGAACCCGGGACTGAACCCGGGACTGAACCCGGGACTGAACCCGGGACTGAACCAGGGACTGAACCAGGGACTGAACCAGGACTAAAACCGGGACTGAACCGGGACTAAACCAGGACTGGACTGGGACCAAACCAGCACTAAAGCAGGACTAAAATCAGGACTGAACCAGGACTAAAACTGGGACTGAACCAGGAATAAACCAGGACTAAAACTGGGACTAAAACTGGGACTAAAACTGGGACTAAAACTGGGACTAAAACTGGGACTAAAACTGGGACTAAACCAGGACTGAACCAGGACTGAACCAAGGACTAAAACCAGGTCTAAACCAGAACTAAACCAGGTCTAAATCCAGGACTAAACCAGGACTAAATTGAGACTAAATCGGGACTAAAAGCTGGACTGAACCAGGACTAAACCAGACTGTGGGCTCGTCCTCATTAGAGCAGAGTTGTTGTTTTTTTTAGAGAATTTTCCAAAGAAACAGAAACACAGAACAGTTTGAGGAGCGGCTGTCGCTGCCGTGTCAATTTTACACAAACCAATCGACTTTTCCCAGTTTTTCTCCGCTGAAGTGAATGAACTTGGGCCAAATAACGTCCGGGTTTATTTATTTTAATTTTTTTAACGGTGATGGTTTGTGTTTTTCAGACGTGGACGACGAGTATGAAGACGAGGACCAATACGATGAAGCGGCCGAGGACATTATGGACAAAGGTTCAAATCTGTTTGTAAAATGTCTCTTTTATTTTATTTTTCCAGTGCAGCTTTTGTTAAATCCTCTTTTATATTTTCCCTTTTTTATTTTGTATTTTCTGGACTCTGAGCAGAAGACGCAGAAGGTTTGTTTCTGATTTTATTTGTACACATTTGTCAGAGTTAAAGTGTTGTTGTTTTTATTTTGTGTGTTTGATGTTTGTTTGAACGTTTGTGTGTCAGTGTCGAACCTGGACCACATCCCTCTGGACGACGATCACTCCGGCTCCAGACGCCTGCAGAATCTCTGGAGGTAACGAGTCAGATGCCCTCCCGTCCTCCCCCAACCCTCCTGTGTGAACAGATCACAGACTGGTCTAGTCCTGGTTTAGTCCTGGTTTAGTCCTGGTTTAGTCCTGGTCTTAGTCCTGGTCTAGTCCTGGTCCTGGTCTAGTCCTGGTCTAGTCCTGGTTTAGTCCTGGTCTAGTCCTGGTCTAGTCCTGGTTTAGTCCTGGTTTAGTCCTGGTCTAGTCCTGGTTTAGTCCTGGTTTAGTCCTGGTTTAGTCCTGGTTTAGTCCTGGTCTAGTCCTGGTCTAGTCCTGGTCTAGTCCTGGTTTAGTCCTGGTCTGGTCTAGTCCTGGTCCCTGGTCTAGTCCTGGTCTAGTCCTGGTCTAGTCCTGGTCTAGTCCTGGTTTAGTCCTGGTCTAGTCCTGGTCTAGTCCTGGTTTAGTCCTGGTTTAGTCCTGGTTTAGTCCTGGTTTAGTCCTGGTCTAGTCCTGGTTTAGTCCTGGTCTAGTCCTGGTCTAGTCCTGGTCTAGTCCTGGTCTAACCAAGACCCAGACCTGAGACCCCAGACCGAAGACCCAGACCCTGGTCTAGTCCTGGTCAAGTCCTGGTTTAGTCCTGGTCTAGCCAAGCCAGGACTAAGACTAAACCAGGACTAAACCAGGACTAAACCAGGACTAAACCAGGACTAAACCAGGACTAAACCAGGACTAAACCAGGACTAAACCAGGTTTTGTAACTAAGCCTCAAATTAAAGTTTTGTACATATTTGCTGTTTGTTTTGTATGAAAGAGTGAATTTTATTTTCTGTTTTCTTGTTTGTTTTTTTTTCGTGTGTATTTCTGCTCGTGTAGTTTTTATTTCAGCCTCGTGACACGACTCCGGCAGCAGATTGTCAAATAACAGAATCTACTGGAAAAAAAAAAGATGTAGAACACTTCATTAGGGTTAAAAGAGGCAGTTTTAAACACAAAAATAAGAAAAACATCCAGGCGAGGACAAATGTACTAAAATTAGGTCTGGAAGGATTAAAAAGAACCCAAGAAGAAATGTGTGTGTGTGTGTGTGTGTGTGTCAGATGCCCTCCCGCTCTCACCGCTGTGTGTTGTTTTGCAGAGATTCGCGAGAGGAGGCGCTGGGAGAATATTACATGAGGAAATACGCCAAGTCTGCAGGAGGAGAGCAGTGAGAACCTTTGTGTTTTTATGATTTAATTGAATTTAAAACAGTTAAATGTGTTTTACGATCGTGCGTCATGTTCTTTAAAGTTATTCTGGAGGTTCAGAGGAGCTCTCCGACGACATCACCCAGCAGCAGCTTCTCCCCGGAGTCAAGTCAGTCTCACCTTTTCATTTATTGATTTATTTATTCTAACGATTCTGAGTTTTAGTTTGTGATTTTAATCGTGTTTACGCTTCTCCAGGGATCCAAACCTGTGGACCGTCAAGTGCAAGGTCAGTGCCGCCGCTTTTGTTGTTTTGTGGAAATTGTTTGTCGAATTCGTCCGTGAATTTCCGTGATTTTAAAGGGAGTGTTGTGTTTTTTGTTTTTTTGTGTCAGATCGGGGAGGAGCGAGCCACGGCCATCGCCCTCATGAGGAAGTTCATCGCCTACCAGTTCACCGACACAGTGAGTCTTTGTGTGTCTGCGCTCAGTCCTGATCCTCAACCCCAGAGGATTATGGGAAAAAAACAAAAAAACACTTGTACTGGAATATCTACGTTTAATAAAATAAATCATTAACTCTTTCCCCCATGAAGACGACATTTGACGACCCCCCGTTTCCTTAATGACGTGTTTTGACTGTTTCACTAAAGACGTGATTTGACGACCATTAGAAACTGATCGGTTTTTCACATGTAAACAGAGACTGCGATAGGTCGGGGTCACTACTAGTGCTGTCATGCGATTAAAAAAAATGGAGAGATTAATTCATTATGATCTGTAAATAATTAATCTAATTAATCTCTTTTTAATCTCACCTAAAAATTGCTGAGAAAAGCTTCAATTTGAGGTATTTTCATTTAAATTCATTATTATATTATTGTGGCAGATCAAAAGACAAGATATAGAACAAAGAATGTGACTTTATAAAGTCATTTATTGTTTAACAAACTTTAACAGATGCAGTCACATTCCACAGTATCATCATCATTATTATTACTGTTACTAATCTGCAGTGTTGGGAAGGTCACTTTTAAAATGTATTCACCTACAGATTACAGATTACATCTGGGTCTGGTCAAGTGGTAACGGAGGGAAACAGGGGCAGATTTTTGACATTCAAATGTCTCTTATTCAGAAACTAGAGGAACTATTGAAATAAGTAAAGTATCAGAATGTAGGAAAGAGTTACACTCCAACAGGGTCAAGTTAAACCTGTGAGATTCTTTCAAGTTCAAGACAAAAAATGTAAAAACTCATGTCGGTAACGGAGGGAATGAAATATGCAGCACTTTTTGGGCAATAAATCCAAACAGTGATAACTCTTGGTTCTCACTTCCATATCCTGAACAAACTGGTTTGAATATTTGCTTCATATAGTTTTCTACCATATGGTACAAGATTAGGTTGAAAAACCTCTGACTTTTTGACTCATGAGATTTTTTATTAAGAAAGTTCATGGTAACGGAGGGAAAAGTAACGGAGGGAAAATTGTACAAACAAGTAGAAGGTGCAGGATTTTACATCATTTGTGGCTTTTTTCTTCTGAATATTTTAATATTACTTCAAAATGAAAGGAAACTATTTCTATAAAATATGTCAGTCCTTCCAAGAACATTTTTATCATTTTAAATATATATATTTTTAATCATGTCCCTTCATCAACAGTTCAAAGATGGAATAACACAAGATATGATGAAATACAAACATTTATTTACATGATTTTCAGGTCTTTGAAATTTGGGAAATAATTTTTGTTCCATGTTTCATTCATGGTCTGTTTAAAACGGATGGAACTTTAGAACCAAAAATGGTACAGAAAAAAGGTCAACAGTTTGATAAACTCGAGTACATATGTATCTGTTCAATACATTTTTATATCAGATGAATTAACTTGGATTTTTGGTCTTGTTGTTTACTTCTGTTTGACCGGGACCAAATTCTCTTTGTACACATTCAAAACCACTTCCTTCTCTGCCTCTTCTTCTCCACAGCCTCTGCAGATAAAGTCGGTGGTGGCCCCGGATCATGTGAAGGGTTACATCTACGTGGAGTCGTACAAACAGACCCACGTGAAGGCGGCGATCGAGGGCATCGGGAACCTGCGCATGGGCCTGTGGAACCAGCAGATGGTGCCCATCAAAGAGATGACGGACGTGCTCAAAGTCGTCAAAGAAGTCACCAACCTCAAGCCCAAGTCCTGGGTCCGGCTCAAGAGAGGACTGTACAAGGACGACATCGCTCAGGTGAGACTCACCTGGATCTGCTCACACTCTTACTGAGACCTGTGCTCAGTGTTGGGAAGGTCACGTTTAAAATGTAATCCCCTACAGGTTACAGATTACACACCGCAAAATGTAGTTTATAACAGAATCTATTAAAATACTTAAGGGGAGTAATGTAATCTGATTACTTTGGATTACTTGATTTGCTGTAAAGAAGCAAAGACTCAGAAATCTTCACATAAGAAGTTTTGTCTGATAAAAAGTCCAGATTTTACTGAACCATATTAAAAATATTATTGATAGAAGAAGAAGAGACACGTCCACACAGCAGGATTTAGTCCTGTTAAATCCTGGTTTAGACCTGGTTTAGTTCTGGGTTTAGTCCTGGTTTTAGTCCTGGTTTTGACCTGCTTTTAGACCTGCTTTTAGACCTGGTTTAGTCCTGGTTTTAGTCCTGGTTTTAGTCCTGGTTTTAGTCCTGGTTTTAGTCCTGGTTTTAGTCCCTGGTTTTAGTCCTGGTTTAGTCCTGGTTTAGTCCCTGGTTTAGTGGTTTAGTCCTGGTTTTAGTCCTGGTTTTAGTCCTGGTTTTAGTCCTGGTTTAGTCCTGGTTTAGTCCTGGTTTAGTCCTGGTTTTAGTCCTGGTTTTAGTCCTGGTTTAGACCTGGTTTAGTCCTGGTTTTAGACCTGGTTTAGACCTGGTTTAGACCTGGTTTAGTTTATGTGGAATTCTGACCGTGCGTATCATAACAAAGAGAGTCAATCCGTCGTGAGTGTCGGGACGGGAGCGGAAGTGCGCCTGTGTAGACCGACAACGGGGCGAAGATCAGCTGACGCCCAATCACACTTTGCGGACACCCTGCTCCCATGGGCTCCCCGGGCTCCACGGGCTCCACGGGCTCCACGGGCTCCTGTCCCCGGAGGCGTGAGAAGAACAGTTTCCCGTCAAACAGCTGCGCCGAGGGCAGAGTCTGGTCTGAAGAGCAAATAGTGCAAGTGTTTTTAAGTGTACCTCCACTGATGCGTGTGTGCGGCTCTTCATCTCTCTCTCTGTGTGAGCGAGAACGACAGAATCGTGTTGAAAACGAGTCTCAGAGCGACTGGTTTTACTGGAGACGGGAAACAGCTGACGCCATCGCAGCCTCACACATTTACACTACTCACAATAAGTTAGGGATATTGTTAATTACATGAGTGCTTTTCCTATTTGGTCTGAATTTTAATGAAATAAGTAAAAGTTCCCTTTGATATTACTAAGAATGAATGAAAAGAAACACCATTTTCATTAGTTTAATATTTATTACCCCAAAAAATTTAGACGATAGCAAGGAAAGCCCCAAGTAACAAATATGAACAATGTCAGTAGCTGGTGTTGATGTCAGCTTGACAGCGACGTCTCATGCTCCTCACGAGCCTCATGATGTTGTTCTGAGGCAGTGTGTTCCACTCTTCCACCAGTGCTACATGCAGTTCCACCAGGTCACGTGGGTGTGGGCTACGATCGTCCAGTCTCTGCTTCAGCTGGTCCCAGACGTGCTCTGTGGGGTTCAGGTCAGGGGGCAGTGCTGGTCGTACCATGTGAGACACTCCCACTTCCTGAAGTCGAGCTGTGACAATTCTGGCAGGATGTGGTGGAGCATTATCATCCATGAACAGAAAGTTGTGGGTTTGCTGGTGGAACTGGGCATGGTGATGGGTTCTGTGAAGTCTCTGAGGTAAGAACGTGCAGTGACTGAGCCATCGACAGTAACCACATCTGTTTTGCTCTGACTGGTGATGCCTGCCCAGACTGTTGCACCTCCTCCACCAAACTGAACCCTGAGGACCATGTTGACCTCGGCGTATCGCTCACCTCGCCTTCTCCAGCAACACTGACGACCATCATTTCTGTGCTAAGTGACCCGACACTCATCAGTGAACAGGACGGTGGACACTGCTGCATTGTCCAGGTCACATGGTCTCGTGTCCACTGCAAACGTTCACGGCGGTGACTTGGTGTCAGTGGAGTCACCTGCAACGGTCGTCTGGCGTTCAAGCCAAAGCGGTGGTGAAGTTTCAAATGGTTTGTCTGGAAACTGTAGTGCCCCTCACATCTCGAAAACGAGCCTGCAGCTGTGTGGCAGTTGCATAGGTCCTTAGTTACCAGTGTTGTGAAGTTTACTTTTAAAATGTAATCCCCTACAGATTACAGATTACACACACCAAAATGTAGTTTGTAACGGAATCCATTAAATTAAAGTGAGTAATGTAATCTGATTACTTTGGATTACTTGCTTTGCTGTAGAGAAGCAAAGAGGAGGATATTGTAACATAAAACGTTTTATCTGCTAAAAGAAAATAAAAAGCCCAAACTTTACTGAACCAAATTAAAAATATTATTGATAGCAGACCAGGAAACACGTCCACACAGCAGGATTTAGTCTTGTTAAATCCTGTTTTAGTCCTGATTTAGTCCTGGTTTTAGTCCTAGTTTTAGTCCTGGGTCCTGGTTTAGTCCTGGTTTTAGACCTGGTTTAGATCTAGTTTAGATCTACTTTAGACCTGGTTTTATTCCTGGTTTAGTCCTGTTTTAGTCCTGTTTTAGATCTAATTTAGATCTACTTTAGACCTGGCTTTAGTCCTGGTTTAGATCTAGTTTAGACCTGGTTTAGTTTCGGGCAATGAGTGAAATTACTGAAAAAACAGGAAAATACCGCTGTGTAATCCATTTATTTCAACCAAGTAACTGTAATCCAATTACCACTCACTGAAACAGTAACTAACTGAATACAGTTACTTATAATTTGTACTCTGATTACATAACTCCGGTACATGTAATCTGTTACTCCCCAACACTGGTTACTGGTCATCGTTGTGGCCTGTCACTCATGAGGCTCCACTCCTGGGTCTGTCACGAACTCTTCAGTAGTTCTGTGTGTTGATGCAGTTCTGCTGATGACACTTTGAGACACACCAAGTTCACGAGCAACATCTGCCTGCCACCGACCCTGAAGGAGCAGTATGGCTCGGTGGCGCTGCTCGTCTGTTAAGTGACGTCGTGTGTTCATGGCCGTTTGAATTGTGAACTTGGAATGACTTGACAGTACCAGCTCTTTATATCCACAGAATGTTGAAATTGACGCCACATTAAAAAGGGTTTTGGCTCCAATATGTAAGACACACTGTCCACACTGAGACCATTACGTGAAAAACACAAAATGAGGTTTGTCTATCACCTCAATACAATTGCCTCCCTATCCCAAAAGTTTCTGAAGTGAAACGAACACTGTATATATGACATTCACTGACTCTGTCTCAGTATCCCTGACTTACTGTGAGTAGTGTAGATCCTGTGGTCCTCGTGTCTGTGATTTGTGGGGACCTTTAGTCTCTTTTTGCCGAACGTCGCGTGATGTAAAAGAGCGTTTATTTTGACTAGAACAAATAAAAGTCAGGTCCCGTTAAGCTCCTGTTGTGCTTGTGTTTCAGGTGGACTACGTGGAGCCCAGTCAGAACACCATCTCTCTGAAGATGATCCCGCGAATCGACCTCGACCGCATCAAGGCCAAGATGAGTCTGGTAAATACTTTCAGAGATTTAAAAAAAATATCCTCTGATCTGTTCTAATGTCGTTTCCTCGTCATAAACGGACCTGGAGTTGGGTTTTGTTTCTTTCACACATGTCTAACACGCAAAAACCACTGCTCCACCTCGTGATGTCATCGAGTGGTGATACAGGAAGTGGTCCGCTGTGTTTTTAAACTCCCACACACCTTCACTAGAATCACCTGGATCATTTCAGTCCTGGAGTTTCTTCACCGATCTCGACTGAACCAAAGGGGAAAAGGAGCCGTTCACTTGGAAAACTACCACGTCATGACATCACGAGGTGGAGCTTTGTGAATTTGTTTGTGAATGAAACAGAAACACAGCTCCAGCTCTGTTTTTGGGGTTAAACATTAGAACCATGACTTAGGGTTCAGTTTTGTGTGATCCAGGAGCTTTCACTTGACTAAAAGTTCTAAATAAAACCTTGGAACATCACGGAGACTAAAGTGACACAAGAATTCTGTAGTTTGTCGTGTTTACAGCGTCTTATCCTCAGTGTTTTGTTTTTTTTGTTTTTGTAGAAAGATTGGTTCGCCAAAAGGAAGAAGTTTAAGCGACCGGCGCAGAGGCTGTTTGACGCCGAAAAAATCAGGTACAAGAAAAGACGTGAAGTCATTTTTACACTATGAATGATTCTAATAATGTTCTTAATGTCATAGTTCACGTCACAACATGTTTGTAGACCTTGAACTTCTTCCTCTGCAGAAGTTTTGACACAGAACAGGACTCAGGGTTCAGTCACACGTGAACATTTGTCATAGACGCTCCGAGATCCAACGAGTGAAAGAAAAACTGAGCAAATCATAATTAAAACATCGCAGTCGGTAAATACGTGACACGTGACGAGGCGGGTGGTTGTGAAAATGAGAATAAAATAAGAGTAAAATAAAACAGTTTTCAGTAAATCTGTGAGCTTCACTTGGGGCTAATTAAAATGAGCCACACAGAACAGACCTGTCTTCAGTTTTTCTGTGATTCTGTGATGAACAGATAAACAGTGACAGATCTGAACCTCGCACGTTTCACTCTATACAAACCTCCTTAAGGGTGAAGTACAGTTCTGCGTCGACTCAACGCTCACTGCCACCGTCTCCTTGTTGCTGTAGTTTTTGATTCATGGGTCTGTGTCGAGGTCTGTGCACTGAAGTAATTCATCTCCAAAACACTCGGGGGCGACGATATCTGTCCAGTCATATAAACATGTGTCTGTGTGTACGACCTGCACACGTATAATCTGTGAAAAGTTTCACATGAACCATCTGCTGTCTGCGTCATTTCAACGCGGAGTCAGAAAATGTTGTAGGTGCACGTCAGTCGACACAGACGCTCTGTGTAGGGTTCACATCGACGCAGACTCTGTCGTGATGCAGACGATTTGATGCTGGATCATAAACTGGCCTTCAGCCCTCCTGAACCTCCTCAGTGCTTCTGTTTCACTCTGAACCTCCTCAGTGCTTCTGTTTCACTCTGAACCTCCTCAGTGCTTCTGTTTCACTCTGAACCTCTTCACTGCTCCCGACACGAGACACACCAAACGATACAGTAGATCAGGAGAGTCAAACTCATGTTGTTCCGGGGGTCGTGTCCAACCGACTCTGATCCTAAAGGGGCCGGATCAAAAAACTCATGTCATATAAACCCCAAAAATAACAATAAGTTCAAATATTTGTGCAGAGAAACACAAATCTATTACACAAATCTTTTTTAATTGATGAACTCTTTCTTTTACTAAATATTATAATATTATGAACAACCTGAAACTTTAAGAAAAATACAATTTCAACACAAAGTTTGAACATGAACTTGTCTGTAAACAGGAATAAGTCAATTTTTGTTGTAAAATTCTGCACTCGGCTCCACTTTTCTCATGTTGGACATTTTTCTGATGAGGGTGTCACGGTCAACAGTCAAAACGATCAATCAATCAAACTTTATTTGTACAGCACTTTTCATACATTTGAAATGTGGCAGAAAGTGCTTCACACGCAACAGAAAAATGTCAATACATTAATTAACCCCCCCCCTCCATATATGTAACAATTTAAACAGAAACATAAAAACTAAAAAACTAATAAACATAAAGCTCTTTAAAGTTATAGTAAAAGAGCTCAAATCAGATGGAGACTAAGTAAAATAGTAATGATAATTTAATTTAAAACAACCATAATAATAACAATAATAATGATAATTTAAGTTAAAACAGGTAAAAGTTTCAGTTAAAAGCTAAATTAAAAAGATATGTTTTAAGTTTACTTTTAAAAATCTGAACACTCGCAGCAGACCTCAGATCCTCAGGTCGACTGTTCCACAGACGGGGGCCGTAAAAGCTGAAGGACGCCTCACCGTGAGTTTTATTCTACGTTCAGACTGCAGGGCTTAACGCTCAATTCTGATTTTTTTTGTGAAATCCGATGTTTTTTCAGCTCGTTCACATTTCCAGTTAAATGTGACTTGTATGTGACTCCAGTGTGAACATTAAACGGTCCAAAAGTGTCCCACATGTGACACTGGAGACACGACGACGTCAACCGCAGCGAGCGTCTCTGTGTTTACACAAGTTGAACAAACATGGACGCAGCATTGAGCACCTGGAGATTTTAAAGTTCCTCTCGTACCGGAGCCACAACATGAACAACATCTGACTCAGGTTGGGTTTGATGTGCAGGTCTCTGGGCGGGGAGGTGAGCCATGACGGAGACTTCCTGATCTTTGAGGGAAACAGATACACGCGCAAAGGATTCCTCTTCAAGAGCTTCGCCATGTCCGCCGTGGTGAGTCACACACACGACCACGAGGACGGGGGGACGGGGGGGACAGGTGAGAGTGACAGGTGAGACAGGTGAGAGTGACAGGTGAGAGTGACAGGTGAGACAGGGTGAGACGGGTGAGACAGGTGAGAGTGACAGGTGAGAGTGACAGGTGAGAGTGACAGGTGAGACAGGTGAGACGGGTGAGAGTGACAGGTGAGACGGGTGAGAGTGACAGGTGAGAGTGACGGGTGAGACAGGTGAGAGTGACGGGTGAGGTGAGAGTGACGGGTGAGACAGGTGAGAGTGACAGGTGAGAGTGACGGTGAGTGAGACAGGTGAGAGTGACAGGTGAGACGGGTGAGACAGGTGAGAGTGACAGGTGAGACAGGTGAGTGACAGGAGACAGTGAGAGTGACAGGAGAGTGACAGGTGACAGTGAGAGTGACAGGTGAGAGTGACAGGTGAGACGGGTGAGAGTGACAGGTGAGAGTGACGGGTGAGACAGGTGAGAGTGACAGGTGAGAGTGACGGGTGAGACAGGTGAGAGTGACGGGTGAGACAGGTGAGAGTGACAGGTGAGAGTGACGGGTGAGACAGTGAGAGTGACAGGTGAGAGTGACAGGTGAGAGTGACAGGTGAGAGTGACAGGTGAGACAGGTGAGAGTGACAGGGTGAGTGAGAGGGTGAGAGTGACAGGTGAGAGTGACAGGTGAGAGTGACAGGTGAGACGGTGTGAGAGACAGTGAGAGACAGAGACAGGTGAGACAGGTGAGAGTGACAGGTGAGAGTGACAGGTGAGACTGGTGAGAGTGACAGGTGAGACGGGAGAGTGACGGGTGAGACAGGTGAGAGTGACAGGTGAGACAGGTGAGAGTGACAGGTGAGACAGGTGAGAGTGAGACAGGTGAGAGTGACAGGTGAGAGGTGAGAGTGAGACAGGTGAGACAGGTGAGAGGTGACAGGTGAGAGTGACAGGTGAGAGTGACAGGTGAGACGGGTGAGAGTGACAGGTGAGACGGGTGAGAGTGACAGGTGAGAGTGACAGGTGAGAGTGACAGGTGAGACAGGTGAGAGTGACAGGTGAGACAGGTGAGAGTGACAGGTGAGAGTGACAGGTGAGACAGGTGAGTGTGAGAGTGACAGGTGAGACAGGTGAGAGTGACAGTGTGAGACAGGTGAGAGGTGACAGGTGAGAGTGACAGGTGAGAGTGACAGGTGAGACGGGTGAGAGTGACAGGTGAGACGGGTGAGAGTGACGGGTGAGACAGGGGAGAGTGACAGGTGAGAGTGACAGGTGAGACGGGTGAGAGTGACGGGTGAGACAGGTGAGACAGGTGAGAGTGACAGGTGCAGGTGTGGGTCCTGGTTTATGGTTCAGATCTTTGGATTTACTGGAACTGTCCACATGAAACAAACTCACACAAATGTTCAGACTCTGATGTCACGAAAAACTAAAGATTTAGACCTGGTTTAGACCTGGTTTAGTCCTGGTTTAGTCCTGGTTTAGACCTAGTTTAGTCCTGGTTTAGTCCTGGTTTAGTCCTGGTATAGTCCTGGTATAGTCCTGGTTTAGTTCTGGTTTAGTCCTGGTTTAGACCTGGTTTAGTCCTCGTTTTGTCCTGGTTTAGTTCTGGTTTAGTCCTGGTTTAGTCCTGGTTTAGTCCTGGTTTAGACCTGGTTTAGTCCTGGTTTAGACCTGGTTTAGTCCTGGCTTAGACCTGGTTTAGACCTGGTTTAGACCTGGTTTAGTTCTGGTTTAGTCCTGGCTTAGTCCTAGCTTAGTCCTGGTTTAGTCCTGGTTTAGACCTGGTTTAGTCCTCGTTTAGTTCTGGTTTAGTCCTGGTTTAGACCTGGTTTAGACCTGGTTTAGTCCTGGTTTAGTCCTGGTTTAGTCCTGGTTTAGACCTGGTTTAGACCTGGTTTAGTCCTGGTTTAGTCCTGGTTTAGACCTGGTGTAGTCCTGGTTTAGACCTGGTTTAGTCCTCGTTTAGTCCTGGCTTAGTCCTGGTTTAGACCTGGTTTAGACCTGGTTTAGACCTGGCTTAGTCCTGGCTTAGTCCTGGTTTAGACCTGGTTTAGACCTGGTTTAGTCCTGTTTAGGTTTAGTCCTGGTTTAGACCTGGTTTAGTCCTCGTTTAGTCCTGGTTTAGTTCTGGTTTAGTCCTGGTTTAGACCTGGTTTAGTCCTGGCTTAGTCCTGGTTTAGACCTGGTTTAGACCTGGTTTAGTCCTCGTTTAGTTCTGGTTTAGTTCTGGTTTAGTCCTGGTTTAGTCAGTCCTGGTTTAGTCCTGGTTTAGACCTGGTTTAGACCTAGTCCTCGTTTAGTTCTGGTTTAGTCCTGGTTTAGTCCTGGTTTAGTCCTGGTTTAGTCCTGGTTTAGTCCTGGTTTAGTCCTGGGTTTAGTCCTGGTTTAGACCCGGTTTAGACCCGGTTTAGACCTGGTTTAGTCCTGGTTTAGTCCTGGTTTAGTCCTGGTTTAGACCTGGTTTAGTCCAGGTTTAGTCCTGGTTTAGTCCTGGTTTAGACCTGGTTTAGACCTGGTTTAGTCCTGGTTTAGTCCTGGTTTAGTCCTGTTTAGTCCTGGTTTAGACCTGGTTTAGTCCTGGTTTAGTCCAGGTTTAGTCCAGGTTTAGTCCTGGTTTAGACCTGGTTTAGACCCGGTGTGACTTGAGCTGATCCCAAACAAAAAAATGAGGAGGATAAACTTTTGTGGAGCAGAAGTTTGGAGTTTTCTTTCAAAAACCACGAACCTCCCAGTGAATCCTCCAGACCCTGAGCTCCGTCTGAAACCCAAACAACCAAGTGATAAAACGTGGATGTTTGACTCGAGAGCTGTATGATTTTTTATTTTATTTATTTTGTCCCTGTTGTCAGATCACAGACGGAGTGAAGCCGACCCTCTCAGAGCTGGAGAAGTTTGAGGATCAGCCCGAAGGCATCGACCTGGAGGTGGTCACGGAGTCTGGTGAGAGAAACCGGTTTAGTTTCACTTTTACTCGACTCGGGGTCCAGTACCGGAAACTTCCACGACAGGAGATGGAGCCGGGGAAAGTCCCATGGTTTGGATTTTGAGGGAAACATGAAGGTCTGAGGTGTGAACGAAAAAGTCTGGAGACAGAACCAGAATAATCGAACCTTCAGGTGGGACTCGGCCTTTAAATCTCTGCTTGGTTTTCAGATTTCGGTCAAAAAAAAGAGACTTAAATAAGAAGATTTATTTAATTACGGATGTTTTATTGCCTTAAACTCCTTCAGAGACCTGCTCCCTGACTCTGGGGGGACTCGTCTCTCCACAAACCTGACGTGTAATTCTTCTGGTGAAGCGTCGTCTCCTTGGAGATGTTTTTAACTCTTTCCCCCTTGAACAACGACAAGAAACAAACCAGACAAATATGACCTGAGTCTGTGTGTCGTTCAGTCGCTTTTTAATATAAAACAAAAATAAGAAAATGAAAAAATCAACAGTTTTCTTCATTATTTGTCTCCAAAACCAAAATGTAAAAACAGATGATTCGTTTTTTCAGTTTTTGATTTTGTGTTTAAATGAAAAATAAAAAAAAACAAAACAGATAACGACCGTTTCCTGTTTACGTGACTTCAGTGACTGTGATGTCGAACTGAACCAGGACCGGGACTGAGACCGGGACTGAGACCGGGACTGAGACCGGGACTGAGACCGGGACTGAGACCGGGACTGAGACCAAGGCCAGACCGAGATTGAGATCAGAACTGAGACCAGACCGGGACCAGACCGGGACCAGACTGGGACTGAGACCAGACTGGGACCAGATCAGGACCAGACTGGAACCAGACTGAGACCAGACTGGGACCAGATCAGACCAGACTGGACTGAGACCAGACTGGGACCAGATCAGGACCAGACTGGAACCAGACTGAGACCAGACTGGGACCAGATCAGGACCAGACTGGAACCAGATCAGGACCAGACTGGAACCAGACTGAGACCAGACCGGGACCAGATCAGGACCAGACCGGAACCAGACCGGGGCCGAGATCAGAAATGAGACCGGACCGGGACCGAGAACGAGACCAGATCGGGACCAGACTGAGACCAGACTGAGACCAGACCGGAGGCTCAGAGCCCAGGGCAGGGCCGGAGCTTGAAGCTGAGGCTCGAACCCTGTGGAGGTTCAGAGTCAAAGCTCGGAGTCCACTCTGGTCCTGGTCTGGTCCTGGTTCAGTCCGTTATCTGTTTTTTGTTTTTTTTTCATTTTTCATTTAAACACAAAATCAAAAACTGAAAATTGAATCATTATCTGTTTTTTCATTTTGGTTTTGGAGACAAATAATGAAGAAAACTGTTGATTTTTAATTTTCTTATTTTTGGTTTTATATTGAAAAACAAACGACACACAGGTTCTGGACGGTTTTGTTGTGATGTTTTCGTCTCCGTGTTCTGACCCTGGCGTTTTTTTTCTCCTCAGGTAAAGAACGTGAGCACAACCTCCAGGCAGGAGACAACGTGGAGGTGTGCGAGGGCGAGTTGATCAACCTCCAGGGCAAAATCCTCAGCGTGGACGGAAACAAGATCACCATCATGCCCAAGCACGAGGACCTCAAGGTACCGGCGCCGCCTCGAGGCCAGGACGCGACAGGCGCTTCTGATCCGGTTTTGTCCGTGTTTCTGATCCGGTTTTGTTTTTGTTTTTGTGTTTCTGATCCGGTTTTGTTTTTGTTTTTGTTTCTGATCCGGTTTTGTCGTGTTTCTGATCCGGTTTGTTTGTTTCTGATCCGGTTTTTGTCCGTGTTTCTGATCCGGTTTTGTTTTTGTTTTTGTTTCTGATCCGGTTTTGTCCGTGTTTCTGATCCGGTTTTGTCCGTGTTTCTGATCCGGTTTTGTTCGTGTTTCTGATCCGGTTTTGTTTCCGTGTTTCTGATCCGGTTTTGTCCGTTTGTTTCTGATCCGGTTTTGTCCGTGTTTGTTTCTGATCCGTTTTGTTTTTGTTTTGATCCGTGTTTCTGATCCGGTTTTGTCCGTGTTTCTGATCCGGTTTTGTCCGTGTTTCTGATCCGGTTTTGTCCGTGTTCGTGTTTCTGATCCGGTTTTGTTTTTGTTTCTTATCCGGTTTTGTTCGTGTTTCTGATCCGGTTTTGTCCGTGTTTCTGATCCGGTTTTGTTCGTGTTTCTGATCCGGTTTTGTTCGTGTTTCTGATCCGGTTTTGTCCGTGTTTCTGATCCGGTTTTGTCCGTGTTTCTGATCCGGTTTTGTCCGTGTTTCTGATCCGGTTTTGTTTTTGTTTCTGATCCGGTTTTGTCCGTGTTTCTGATCCCGGTTTTGTCCGTGTTTCTGATCCGGTTTTGTCCGTGTTCTGATCCGGTTTTGTGTTTCGTGTTTCTGATCGGTTTTGTTTTTTTCTTATCCGGTTTTGTTCGTGTTTCTGATCCGGTTTTGTCCGTGTTTCTGATCCGGTTTTGTTCGTGTTTCTGATCCGGTTTTGTTCGTGTTTCTGATCCGGTTTTGTCCGTTTTGTTTCTGATCCGGTTTTGTCCGTGTTTCTGATCCGGTTTTGTCCGTGTTTCTGATCCGGTTTTGTTTTTGTTTCTGATCCGGTTTTGTTTTTGTTTCTGATCCGGTTTTGTTTTTGTTTCTGATCCGGTTTTGTCTGTGTTTTCTGATCCGGTTTTGTTTGTGTTTTTGTTTCTGATCCGGTTTTGTTTGTGTTTTTGTTTCTGATCCGGTTTTGTTTGTGTTTCTGATCCGGTTTTGTCGTGTTTCTGATCCGGTTTTGTCCGTGTTTCTGATCCGGTTTTGTCCGTGTTTCTGATCCGGTTTTGTCCGTGTTTCTGATCCGGTTTTGTCCGTGTTTCTGATCCGGTTTTGTCCGTGTTTCTGATCCGGTTTTGTTCGTGTTTCTGATCCGGTTTTGTCGTGTTTCTGATCCGGTTTTGTCCGTGTTTCTGATCCGGTTTTGTTCGTGTTTCTGATCCGGTTTTGTCCGTGTTTCTGATCCGGTTTTGTCAGTGTTCGTGTTTCTGATCCGGTTTTGTTCGTGTTTCTGATCCGGTTTTGTCCGTGTTTCTGATCCGGTTTTGTCCGTGTTTCTGATCCGGTTTTGTCCGTGTTCCAGGATCCTCTGGAGTTTCCCGCCCACGAGTTGAAGAAGTATTTCCGGATGGGAGACCACGTGAAGGTGATCGCCGGACGCTACGAAGGCGACACCGGACTCATCGTCAGAGTCGAGGAAAACTTTGTGATTCTGTTCTCAGACCTGACCATGCACGAGGTACTGGACCGGGACTAGACCGGGACTAGACCGGGACTAGACCGGGACTAGACCGGGACTAGACCGGGACTAGACCAAGACTAAACCAGATCTAAATCAAGACTAAAGAAGGTACTGGACCGGTACTGGACCAGTACTAGACCAGGACTAGACCAGGACTAGACCAGGACTAGACCAGGACTAGACCAGGACTAGACCAGGACTGAACCAGGACTAGACCAGGACTAGACCAGGACTAAACCAAGACTAAACCAGATCTAAATCAAGACTAAAGAAGGTACTGGACCAGGACTAGACCAGGACTAGACCAGGACTAGACCAGGACTAGACCAGCTCTAAACCAGGTCTAAACCAGGTCTAAATCAAGACTAAAGAAGGTACTGGACCAGGACTAGACCAGGACTAAAGCAGGACTAGACCAAGAATAAAAGAGGCACTGTGCCAGGACTAAACCATGACTAAAGGAGGTCTAAACCAGGACTGAACCAGGATTGAACCGGGACTAGACCGGGACTAGACCAAGACTAAACCAGATCTAAATCAAGACTAAAGAAGGTACTGGACCGGTACTGGACCAGGACTAGACCAGGACTAAACCAGGTCTAAACCAGCTCTAAACCAGGTCTAAATCAAGACTAAAGAAGGTACTGGACCAGGACTAGACCAGGACTAAAGCAGGACTAGACCAAGAATAAAAGAGGCACTGTGCCAGGACTAAACCATGACTAAAGGAGGTCTGAACCAGGACTGAAACAGGACTGAATCAGGACTAAACCTGGACTAAACCTGGACTAAACCTGGACTAAACCAGGACTAAAGAAGGTACTGAACAAGGTCTAAACCCGGTCTAAACCCGGTCTAAACCCGGTCTTGTGTGTGCAGTTGAAGGTTCTTCCCAGAGACCTGCAGTTGTGCTCGGAGACGGCGTCGGGGGTGGACGCGGGGGGGCAGCACGAGTGGGGCGAGCTGGTGCAGTTGGACCCTCAGACGGTCGGGGTCATCGTGCGCCTCGAGAGGGAAACCTTCCAGGTAAACATCTTTAACCCGGAACTTTTTTACCGTGGGCTTGGATTATTTTGTACAGGTCCTAGTAAAAGTATTAAAGTACCTGTAAACGTGTACTGTAAAAGTAAAAAGTACAAGAGTTTTACAGAGTTTTATTTGAACAATTAAAGCATCAAATGTCGTGAGAATTCAGCTGATTTCATGTGATTCTTATTTTTTCTAAGTCTTTTAGTGTTTGTGTTTTGTGTCAAAGTTTGGACGTGAACTCAAATTAAACGTGTTAAAATAAACTTAAGGCTTTTAACATCGTGGCCTGTCACAACATATAAAACTACAAGTTTTTTTTTCTTAAATTCATGGCTTTATTGTAGTAACAGTTCTTAAACATATTTGTCTCCAAAACCAAAATGTAAAAACAGATAATGATTCCTTTTTTTCAGTTTTTGATTTTGTGTTTAAATGAAAAATGGAAAAAACAGATGAGGACCGTTTCCTGTTTACGTGACTTCAGTGACTGAACCAGGACTGATCCAGGTCCAGGACCAGACCAGGACCAGACTGGGACCAGACCGGGGCTGAGACTGAGACTGAGACGGAGACCTGGCCGGGACCAGGCTGGGACCAGACCAGGACCAGACCGGGACCAGACTGGCACCAGAGCACAACTGAGACTGGGACCAGATTGGAGGCTAAGACCCCGCGGAGGCTCAGAGTCCAAGCTCGGGGTTCGCTCTGGTCTTGGTCTCAGTCTCGGTCTCAGTCCCGGTCTGGTCTCGGTCTCAGTCCCGCTCTAGTCCCGGCCTCAGTCTCGGTCTCAGTCCCGGTCTGGTCCTGGTCTGGTCCTGGACCTGGATCAGTCCTGGTTCAGTCCGACGTCACGGTCACTGAAGTCACGTAAACAGGAAACGGTCGTTATCTGTTTTCTCATTTTGGTTTTGGAGACAAATAATGAAGAAAACTGTTGTTTTTTTCATTTTCTTATTTTTGGTTTTATATTGAAAAACAAATAAGTAAATGACACACAGATTAACTCCACTCGCTTTTTCTAGGGATTTTTGAGCTCTAAAGCCACATGTCAGAATGAATTTGTTTTAAGGTAAAGTGGAGGTGTTTAAAGTCACACTGTGGAACATTCAGACAGAGCAGTGACGTATCTATAGAAACGAGCAGATGACAGACCCTCCACCAGAAAAGTTCCACAGTGCGGCTTTGCGTTCTGGTACTGAGCGTCGCCGTTGTGTTTCAGGTGCTGAACATGCACGGGAAAGTCCTGACCGTGCGTCACCAGGCCGTGAACCGGAGGAAGGACAATCGCTTCGCCGTGGCCCTGGACTCGGAGCAGAACAACATCCACGTGAAGGACATCGTCAAGGTCATCGACGGGCCGCACTCGGTAAGACGCCATCCTGGGTAAGAGGGTGTGAGCGCAGGAGAGGAGGGAGTTTGTTGGTGTTTAATGTCGTGATGAGCGTGACGGCGCGTGTGCTTCTCTTCAGTTCAAGTGTCGTTTGTCGTTTGTCGTGGTTTGTCTCAGGGCAGAGAGGGCGAGATCCGTCACCTCTTCAGAGGATTCGCTTTTCTTCACTGTAAAAAACTGGTGGAAAACGGAGGAATGTTCGTGTGTAAAACGAGACACCTGGTCCTCGCCGGCGGCTCAAAGGTCACAGTCTGAACACGTGATTTTTTTAAAAAAAAGTTGAAAACGTCACGGTCGTGATTTTAAAACGTCCTGTTTTTGTCTGAAGCCGCGAGACGTCACCAACTTCACCGTGGGAGGATTCGCTCCAATGAGTCCACGGATCAGCAGCCCCATGCACCACGGAGGAGGAGGTACTACTACTACTACTACTACTACTGTAGTACTAATACTATTAAACTACAGTATACAGCCCCATGCACCACGGAGGAGGAGGTACTACTACTACTACTACTACTACTACTACTACTGTAGTACTACTACTATTTAAACTATAGTATACAGCCCCATGCACCACGGAGGAGGAGGTTTGTAGTATTGTAGTATTGTAGTACTGCAGTACTGCAGTACTCTCTTTCGGGCTGTTAAAGAGTGATACTCTGATACTAGTGAATTGTACTAGTACAGTGTTTATTCACTTCACGTCACAAACCAGGAAGACGTTTGGAAACGTGAGGAAAACTTCCTCTGGGCTCTGTTCATGTTTGTAAATCTGACAAAATGTAGGAAAAATGAGAAAATGTCATTGTAGTTTTCTGTTCTGTTCATCTTATCAACAATTCCAACCACACCTCAGTTTTCATCATTTTAATAATAAAGACATAATAAATAAATCAATAATTTATAATACATGAATCTCAATTTGTTGGTAAATAATACTTACCCTGGTACCCAAACATGTACTTTTCTACAAAGAACTTAGAGCCTTCCTCTAGTTTAGAGCTTCCTGTGAGTGACATCGAGGGTGTGATCAGAGTCTTGTTCTCGTGGAAAGATTTGGGAGGTTGTGAAGACGCTGCTGCTGCTGCTGAATCCACAGTTTGATCATATTAAATTGAGTTTGATCACAGTCGGTCGGTGAACTCAGGGTCCTGAACTACACCAGAAGTTTTCATCACATGTTTCCAGACGTCTTCCTGTAGACTCTGTTCACGCTTCTGTCACAAACCAGGAACGACAGTATGTTATAACTGTTCATACTCTGGAGAACTGATGTGTGACTGTTTGAGATGTAAACTTTTATATTCTTGTTTTATATTCTAGTTTTATTTTCTGGTTTTATCTTCTTGTAGTAAATGTCTGTGCTGGTTCTCTGTTCTGAAGGAGTGCAGCAGCGAGGAGGAGGAGGAGGAGGGGGAATGGGACGCGGCCGAGGACGCAGAGACAACGAGCTGATCGGTCAAACCGTGCGCATCTCCCAAGGCCCATACAAAGGTGAGGTCTAGGATCCGGCCCGGTGCTCACTACACTCTGAGGGGTGATGCTAA